TCTTTGATTTTTTCAGGAAATTCTTGAAGTTTTTCTCCAATATAATATTGCAATTGCAATTCTCCTTCTTTTATAAATAATCCTAAAAATTCTATTTCTATTTTAGCTATTTCAGCTTTCTTTTGAGAAAGTGTAATACCATATTTTTTCATAATATAACAAAATTTCTCAAGTTATTCAATATATTCATTAATATTATTTGAATGAATAAGTAAATCATCTACATATACAATACAAAAATGAGTAATTGGTTTAATTACCTCATCTATTCTTCTTTGAAATATCTGTGGTGTATTTTTCAACCCAAATGGTATTACATTCCATTCGTATTGTCCTAAAGGATTAGGCGTACTAAATGCAGTTAATAGTTTACTTTCTTCTATAAGCATGATTTGCCAAAAACCTGACTTACAATCAAATTTTGAGAATATCTTTTTATTGCTTAATAAGGGTGTCCTTATTTGACAAATAATATCCATCAAATTTAGTAACTTCATTTAGCTTTTTATAATTTATCACCATCCTCGCTTTTCCTCTTTTTATCTCGCTATGTTTTCTAACCATAAAGGTTGGGCTGCTATGTGGACTTTTACTAGGCCTAATTAATTTGGCTTCTAGCAATTCTTTTATCTGGTCCTTAAATTCCTTTTGGTCTTCAACACTATATTTCATTGGTTTGACTCTAACAATAGTGTCTGGATTGGTTAATTCTATTTTTGCCTTTACTTTGTCTATATTCCATTTTTCTAAGGGATTTTTAGAATATGTTTTAGAAATTTCTTTTTTCAATTTTTCTAACCTATTTTCTGTTGTCATTTTTAGGACTGTGACTGGTTTAAATTTTTCTGTACTCCAACATCCACCACGCTGGGTTGAGGAACTCTGATAGTTGATGTCTCTATATGCTATTGTAACATCCTTGTTTATTTTTGGTGTAAATATTTTGTGTGCACATGGTGTTGTGAACATATATTTATCAATATATTGTGTAAATGGTGCATATTTTAATAGAAAATTTTGTCCTAATAAAATATCACATCCAATTGTATTTGACATATATATTGTATCAACAAATACTTCTCTAAAGAAAATTAGAAAAGGTACTTGCGTAGCATATTTGCTGTATATTATCTTATTTCCACCTACTGTTGTAGCGGTGACAATCTTCTTTGAATTATATTTCCAATATTCAGATGATAGTACATTTGGTAAGCATAAGCTTATTGTACTTCCTGTATCTAAGTAAGCATGGAATTTAATTCTACAATAACTTTTTTTATTGAGTATAATTTCAATATATGGACTCATGGGATTAGTACTAATTACTTTTTCCATGATAACAATGATTTCATATTTTCATCTATTCTTGATATGATTATTGGATTATCATCAACTGTTATTTTTAAATATCCTTGGTAGATTTTATAAGGACTATGTTTCTCAAGAAAGTTCATTCCTAGTAGTATAGGTGAACGATCAACTCCATATAATTCATCTTTATATAGAATTATTTTTTTAGTATATTCTTTCTGATCCTCTCCCATAACTATAAGAGGGAACTTTACATATTTCCTTATTTCAAGATTATTTCCTAAATAATCCTTGAATATATAAGGTTCTGGTATTTCAAATTCTATTAAATGACTAACAAATTTAGCATTTACATGACTTTTATCTGCTCTAGTATCTATGAGGACAAGAAGATTCTTCTTATATCCTTATTGATTTACATATCTTGTTTTGATATAATATTGCGAACTTGATGGTTCAGCAATACTTAATTTCTTGAGTTTGCTTATCTTAGAGTTTTGTTTAGAGGGGAATCTTGTAATAAGATTATCTCCTTCTAGGCTGACACTATTTCTTCTTATCAGTTTTCCTTCAGAATTAATTTCTCTAGCTTGTTTGTGGAAATCAAGCATTATCTGTTCTGGTATAGTGACTTCATGTTTTTGGTATTTTCTAGGAGGTATATATTGTGCTCATTCTTCAAAATCTTTATGTATGATAATATTATCAGTTATTTTTCTTAGATTATTATGATAACTAGTGCTAAAAGCAAAAATTGATTTTATACTTATACTAATAGCCTTACTTTTTCGTAACATTTTCAGGTTTCCAATTTTATAATATAGATTGAAACTGTGGTCAATATTTTCATCAATTAGTGATATTGCATAATTTGATTTTACTGTATATATTATCTTTTGATAGACTAAGTTTGCTACAACTGTTCCTAATGGAGCCTCTATAGGATCTTATAAGATCCTGTTGTCCATACAGTATATTTCTATTGGTATGTTCATACCTTCTCTAAAGAATCCTTTTACCATTATCTGGACTCCTCCTATTTCAACACATTTCATTTTGTTTCTTATCTTTTCCGAAATTTTGGATAACTTTTGTTTTACCCATCCTTTTGTAATTATAGGAATCCTTGCTTTTCCTATAGTATCTTCTATATTGATAGACATTTCTTTATAATTCATACTTGCAATTATTTTATTTACTCTTGATAGTATTCCTAAGAATCCTTGTTGGAATACATCTTTTTCTTGTAGGTCTAATATTTTCTTGGTTATTCTTTTGTATTTTTTAATATCAAAGGTAATTTCTTGATTTATTCCTTCTATCGAATCTTCAACTTCTTCAGTTGTTTCTACATCTATTTCTAGATCTGCTTGTTGTATCTCTTGATTCATATATACAATCTCCTCAGAATCTTCCTCTGATGAGGATGTATCTAATTCATAAATGCTACTGCATTCACTACTTAAATATCCAAAATATTCAATTGGTTCTATATCACTATCATCTTGGAATTTTTCATAAATTCTAAGAGTTTTTATATTCTATCTATCCTTCTTTTTAGGATATTGAGGGGCAATGTGTCCTTCTTCATTACAGATGAAACATCTATATTTTTTAATATTTCTTGGTTTAGATTTTTTATTCAAATTTCTTTTCTTGAAATTTTTTTTGTGTGGTTTAAAATTTCTTTTCTTGAATTTTTTGTAATTTTTGAATTTTCGTTTATATTTCTTATATGATTTATATTTTTTTTATGGCATCCAAATTATTCAATTTGGCCTATATCTTTGTAACAACACAAGGAATTCTTTCTTATTTTATATGCTTTCTTACTTTCTAGAGTTTCTCTGCACCATATGCCTATCATTGTTTTTGTAAATTCAATCTTACTTCCAAGACTATTTATTTTTATTCCTTCTTCATCTCCTAAAAGTAGTAATTTCTCATATTCTTTTAATAACTTAATTCCCCATGGGAATGGTAATTTTGTAAAATAAGATCTTAGTATAAGTTTATTTTCTTGATAATCTTCTTGGTTTAATATATAGTATAATTCTTCAAATTTACATGTATATCTTTCTAATTCACACATATCACATATCTTTAAATTTTTCATTGCTATTATTCCTTCATTATATTCATCTTGCTTTCTTTCTTCTTCATTAGAAGCATATCTATCTCCTAAGAACTCTGTTTTTAAGGCTTTTTCAAATCTTTTTAATATTTCTTGTATATTTTGATCATTTAAAGTATTACTATTATCCAATACTTCAGTTCTACCTTCTCCATACTTTATTCTTCCTTTAATAAATTCTAGTAACTTTCTCCACCATTCAAAAACAATTCCTCTGAATGTATGTTCTGTAAATTCAAAAGCTGTATATGTCTCCCATTTATTAAATTGTATTGTTAAGTCTGTACTTTTCATCCATGTTTCAATAGCTTTATTTTTATCTACACAGTCTAGATCTAACCATATTCCTATTGTATGGATTGGTTCATTATAAGATTTCATTGGATTTGTTTCTTTTATAAATTGTTTTCTTATATTTTCAGTGTATCTTTTCTATGTTTTCCTATATTGATTAATACCTTCTTTAAGAGGTATTGTAGTATAATAAAGATAATCATATTTTTCATCACTACTGAATTCTATTTTTATATTTCGACTTGTTGATGGATTAGTATTTATCTTTGTATTTTTCATTTTTTCAGTTAATTCTTCTAACTGTTTTTTATATTCATCATACTCTTCACCAGTAGATTCTAAAAATTTTTATTCTAATTATTCTACATCTGTAATCATATATTGATTTTCTTCATGTTTTTCCCTTTATTATTTTTTTTTTTTTGTGTTATCCTAAAATCTTAGGTTGGATTAATTATAATCCTATCTTTTTCTTTAAGGTTTTTATCTAAAAGAGCATTTCTTATTTGTAAATTATGTTCTAAATTTTCTAATCTTTTATGTATGTTCTCAAAGCTTTCATTTGTGGTGTTTTTAGGTAAGTAGGGATAACTTGGTTTTTTTTGTTTTTCAACCTTTTTCAAAAATTCTTCAATTATATTTTCTTCATCTACTATGTTCATCATAATTTTAGGTTCGTAACATGGCTCTGATACCATTTCGTCGGAGCGTGCAGTGGAGGGGTTAAGATTTTGAATCCAATTAAATTCTTCATAAGTATTTATAATATCACAATAGAATTTATAAAATTCACTATCTTTTGTTAAAACCTATTCTTTAATAATTATATTTAATTTGTTAATTCTTCGTTCCAGTTTAAGAATTTGTTTATGTATATTATTTTCTATTTTAATTGCTCTATTATCTATATGAACATTTTTATATTTTAATTTTGGATCTAAATATTCTGTAAAGAAACTTTCCAGATCTTCTTTTAAATAATTTAATTCATTATTTGTTGCATTTCTTAGATCAATAAAATTTTGTATAATTTTTGGGTTTAAATTTATTAAAGATTCATGATCTATATTTCTTTGAGGACCTAATCAAGGTTTTTATACATTGTAATGATTTTGGTTGCAAATTCTCTTATGAAGGGTATTTTTGGAAAGATTATCGTTCAAAGGCTATTCTTCAAATAATTATATTTTTTGGTCTAATCTCACAATTTGTTATTCTATTTAGGCTGTTAAAAGGTATTTCGTCCAACTACTCTCTCACACACTGACAATCAGTTCTACTCATTAGCTTGTGTGATTTCAACAATGGATTCTCCGCCGGAAAACGAATCAGTACAGGCGAACAACCTCAAAACTCTGGTATCATTCTACTCTACCTACCTCTATAACCGTTTTCTCACTTTTTTTCCAACTTCAATGAATCCCAACAATTTCATATCAAAAATCTCGAGCATGAACAGCTCCACAAAACGACGTGGCAGGAAGACTGGTCTCCCCCTTCCCTTGCCACCCGCCACCACTACTGTTTCGCCTGATCAACCTTCTGTGTATCCTTTATCACACTTGCTAACATTTATCGTTCATCTATTTTGCACCCTTCATTTATTAAGAGAAATGCAATTAAATTAATTGGGGGTTTATTATGAATAACTTCAAATGGTGCAAATTTTTTGGTGAACAATTGAAAAAAATGTACTGATTAAAAAATGGAAATGATAAATGGGCTCACTGTTCTATGGTACTGAATGTCGTAGAGAAGGAAGAAGGAAGGGTAGAAATCTTTACTATGGTCAACATAACTGCTGGAATTTTTATTTATTTGTTATGATTGAAAACTACGTTATTCATGCGAAACTTTATTATCTGTTGAATGGAAATGAAAATGAAGCCCAAAATTTGTTCCTTGATCCCATATGCAGGATGACATCTGAGGGGCATAGAATATTTGAAGCATTAGAGGATATCATGGAGCACACGCTTTAAAATTTGCTTAAATGATTTTGGCAATCTAGAGCAGATGTCTGCTTAAATGAGTTTTTGCTTTGGTCAAATGGTGTAACATCAACTTCAATTTCTCTGGTTTCTGTAATTATAATTGTTTCATTTATATTTCAGGGTTCGAATGCTCAAAATGCGTATTTCTTGCTATGCGAAAGAGGGCCACATGCATTTTTCAATGGCACAGCTCAATTGATACATGATTATCTAGCTGAAGGTTCTGGCATGCAGCGTGTATACTGTTCAGCATCTTCACACACACACACACATATATAAGATACTATTTAGCTACTTTTTGGGCAGAGGTACATTGTTTCCCATTTCATATGTTGCATACAAGGCACCAACTGACATTTGTCTAGGTTAATAATGATAAGTTGTAGTCAAGGATAAATTTAGATTGCAAAGAGTGCTGTTTGTACAAATCTTTTCACCTTTTTTTTTTAAATAAATTTTTAATCCTATTTTTTGTAAAATAAAGGGAAACGAGATAAAGAACTATGGCATATGAGTTGGTGGTTTGACTAGGTAACATAATGAAAATGTATCGAATTGCAAATCTTGGTGTGGTAGTTCTGCTCCCGTCTAATATTTTTAAATGAGAACATTTTAAAATAATGCATATGCATATCATCAGCATGCATCATGGTGTTTGCTTGCCGAGCATTAGCTCATCCCACGTCATCCCCCCCCCCCCCCCCCCCCCCCCCGCCCCTCCCCCACCAAAAAATAAAAATAAAAAATGGACCTAATAAAATTGAAAATGATAGGTTAATAACATCATCCCACACTTTTTCGAATTATTCATTCTCTCTATTTCAAAGTATTCTAACGTGTGTCCCCGGGAGTAGTAGATTAAATAATATTTTAATGCTGAATTTAAAGAATTAATTTAAATAACAGGCATTAAAGTTCTTTTTTTTTTTTTTAACCATCTCTCTTTCACCTACTTAAATGCTCTTGTCCGCCAATTTCTATTTAGTATTTATTACTATAATTTAGAGATATACAGAAGATCCTCGCTTCACAACTTATAACTAGGAGAGGACTCTATTAGTCTCATATATTTGAATTTGGATACAATAAATTTGTCTTCACTTTTACGTATCAAAACATAATCAAACTTAATTTTGTTCAAACACAAGCTAGGGTTAAATAAAATGGTAGTTCATAGCATTAAGTTCTCAGGTAACAATACTTGGACTCGTATTCATATTATTGCTTGTCACGATACCATGCACTTGTAGTAGTTTATTCGAACATTTAACATTAGCAATACTGCTTTATTTATTTTACGAATTAACTGCTGCTATACGAGTCCGATCACAAAGCTTATTTAGGCATCGCCAACAAACTTGAATTCCTGCAATTCCTTGGAGTTATCTGGCTTGACCCACACCTTAGTGTCACACACTCTCTTCTTCTTCTCCACGCGGTCGAACACCTCCAGGGTTAGATAGTACATGAACCCTGCCACCACTTGCTGTTTAGCATCCAATACCTTCTTAAATTCCAGAACTAGTGCATTCTGCAATCATAAAGAAAGAAAAATAAATGAGATTTCAGACTCAATTCCAAAAAGTCATGAAAATCGCAAGTAATTGTAATTCGGATCGTACTATACGTACATAATCATTTACCTAACAGTTTACCTACTACTCACATCATTTGGGTGGGACCTTGGTTCGGATTATTAAATTACACATGAGGCCCGCATGTTTGTGAGGGGGTGTAAACGGTTGGGTACATCCCCCTCGGTACAAACATCTTTGTGGTTGTAATTAATAAGATGCAAAAGAGGAGGAGGAGGAAGAAGAAGAAGAAGAAGAAACCTGTTTTTTGTTGTACTCATCAACGGCAAAACGAGCGAGACATTCAATCTCAAGGCTGTTCTCAAATCCTTTAATCGGGGTAATTCCTCCAGAGGTGGTCGAGGCGGCCATTCTCGCAGATAATTGAATTTTTTGCTAAGAAAACTTTTTCTTTTCTTTGGTGAGTGGATAGTTGAAGGCAGCTCAAGTGATTTATATAGAGACCGGGGAAATAGCGAAACTTGCAATTATCCAATCAGCAAATCTGTAGAATCAAATGAAATACACATGGAACATTTTCCATATGTGGACTATATTATTGGATAAGATTTTTTAGAGGTGGTTGGCTTCTAATGTCTGTCTTTAAGTTCTCAATTTTAAAAATCTATTTTGGATTCTTCGTTGAAAAATACGTTTTTTTTTAATTACTTTTAATGTCTGTCTTAATTTCTCAATTTTTAATATCCATTTTGGATTCTTCGTCAAAAAACACGTTTTTTTTTTTTAAATTAAAATATAAGATCTAAGCTTACCGCCACGACTACCTATACCATGCATTATTACATTGTCGCCCCAATCATTTGTAACATATCTTGTTACTTTACTATCAGCATGTTTGGTTCTCATTAATTTGGAAAAAAAAAATGACTTTTGAATAGTATTTTAGGAGAATGTGTGGTTAATAAGTATGAAAAAGTTTTAGGTATACAAGTTGAATATTTTATTATATGAATGTATGGTTAAAAATGATCCTACGGCAAATTATAAAATAAATTAATGGATGTCGAACGGGCACTAAAGGTCATCACCATCACTTATAACACTCATTACTAAATTGTCATTGTTATTGCCTTCGCCATCACCGTTACCACTTGTAACATTTTTATTACACTACCTCAGTTGTCTCTACCACCATCCACTAAAAAGCCACACATGGAAATCATGAATTCAACCACCAAAATCACCATCACTGCCCCCACCTATTTTAACCACCACAACAAGCACCATCAATGCTACCAAGCCAACCGTGACCCTGGCCTAAAACAACCTGAGCCATTCTTCGTAGACAACCCCGGGTTGTCCAAGAAGTTTAAACCAAACAACCTAGGCCATTGCGTAGCATCTCAAAAAATTTAAAAGTTTAAAAGCCCAACAAAAATTTTTCTTTATTATTTTTTAGTTGGATCCTCTATTCTTTTAAAAAATCACAACAATACAATAAGATGTGACTAAATAAGAAGCCCAAAGCACTTGCGGTACTTACATCCTTGATTTAAGGAATAAAATGGACCTACAATTACTAGGAAAAATTTCGTATCTAAGAATTTAACTATGACTCTTTTCAAGACTAGGAAACAAGTTCTAACATTTCAAAAATCAAAATTTATTTATGAAATAGTTAATTAAATATATTGAAGTCATAATTTTATACAATTTGGTAACAAATTAGTGAATTATCTGGTTACAAATTATTTCTCAGTCACAAACAAAAAAATTTATTGATCACAAATTATTTCTCGATCATAAATAAAAAATAATCCCAAATAAAAATTTTTATAGATCACAATTTATTCATTAGTTACAAACTATCAAATTAAGTGGTAACATATTATTTTTCAATCACAAATTTTCGAATTAATTAATCATAGATTACCAAAATTCTGATTTACAATACACATTTTTTTTTATATCACATATTATTTATTGGTCACAAATTAACAAATTTATTGATCAAACACTCAAATAATTGATCACAAACTCTTCGTCCCATTCCATCGCCACGGCCACAACACCAACACCAATGCTAATAACAATACCAAATCGCACTGTCGACGCTGCTGCAAATAGCTTCCTTCACACCAAACCAATCGAGCCACCCAATAAACATAATATTCGTAAAATATTCGTAACCTAAAGTGATTAGATCTGCAGCAAATAGGGAGACGATGTCTAGATTTTGTGGTGACAATGGATCAAATCTTAGCAAATGGAAAGAAGTCTTGTCGACGACTACGCGCTGCATCACCACTCCCTTTTCTCCAATGTCTTCGTGACGACCATAAATTATAGAGAGAGAGGTAGAGTAGAGAGAATGAAAAATTAATTGAGAAGGTGATAATGAATATTAGGTTTTGGGATATAGGGTATATAATTAATTGAATTTTATAATATTATTATTTAATATTAAAAATTATATTATCATCTGATTTTTGTATATATAAACTACAATCTTCATTTTTGAAATGTAATATTTAAAATTAGGCCTTTCCATGTAATTTCCACATTAAACTATTATCTAGTGCTATATTTTGTTGTGTTTTGCTATCTTCCAAAATTTGAAAAAAAATAAAAATAAATAAATAAAGAAGCAAAAGTTAATGCAAAAAAATTATAAAGAAATTTCTCATATAGTTTTTTGCTAAGCTTATAAAATTTCTTTAAAATTTATAAAGAGTTAATAATCAATCCATTTTTCCCATTTTTGTAATTTATTTTCTTTCTTTCACTATCTTTATCATTATTCCACCCAAAAACAATTTAAATAAACAAATTAGTTAGATTTATAAGTTAAAAATAAGTTGTTTATTTTAAAGGGCTCATTTCATTTTTCAAAAGTTATAGAGAAATTGGATTTGAATTAACCATGATTGATGCTAAAGAAATCAATAAGCTTGTGAGAAAATTATATTTGAGAGCCTCATAATAATTTATCGCCTAGAACCTCAAAATTCTCAAGACGGGCCATGAATGCTACCCCAATACAAACACTAAATTAAAATATTCAAATTCACCAAGTAATAATTAAAACGAAAATTTAAAAAAAAAAACTCAAAAACTCAAAAACTACATAAGAGATTTCGAATTTCAAATTTTGAAGGTGTGATTTCAAATCTGAAGAGGTAGTCATTTTAGATCTATGGTTGCGACTATGATTTCAATTTTAGATCTTGGGTTGCTTTGTGGAGACGATGACATCCATATATAGTGACGATGGTGGTGTAATGATGCCATTTTAGAATGGGATGGTTAGTGGCAGTATGGTGATTATAGTTAAAGCAAAGATAAGACAACGTTTGTGTTGGAGGAAGACGGGTGATTGGTTGTGGCGAAGGAGAATGTATTATGAGTTGACTCAAGCAGTGATGATAACTGTGGTAGCAGATGGTAGTTGATGGCGGCGACAATGTTGTGGTAGATAGTGTTTTGTAGGGTTGGTTTGAAAATTTGATTGTGATAGGTTGAAATTTTAAACAGTAATTACTAAATTTACAATATTGAACAATAATTTTGAAATTATTATATAAAACTAGTCATGGGGGCAAAATACTTCATTTTATTTTGGGTGGGGCACATTGAGATCGACCAATATTAGCATAGCCCAATTTGACTTTAACTGTAGGGAAAAGTCATAAATAAGAGATTAAGTATGATACATTTCAAATTTCAAAAATCAAATATTTTAAAATTTCATTTATAAATTAAGTTATTAAACATATGTTTTACTAATTAAATATATTGAGGTCACAAATTTATATAATTTGGTCGCATTTATCTAATTAATTAGTCACAGATTAATTTTTAGTCACAGCTTATTTGTTAATCACAAATCAAAAATTTTATAGGTCACAGATTATTTTTCGGTCACGAATAAATTTTTTTATCGGTCATTGATTATTCATCGGTCATGGAATCAAAACTTTTATTAAAAAGGACTTCTATTTCTTCGGTAAATATCTTAGTAGAAGATATGATTTCTTCGAATTGAGGTTTATTAGTTTTTAAGTAAGCAACCACTCGATCAATTCTGTTCTACTTAATGCCTCTTTCTCTTTTATGGCCACATATCTTTTCGGCTAAGAAATAATGGGCATAACATTCTAAAAAAAAATATTTTCTTTTTTCAAAAAATGTTAATCATTTCAATTAAAAGCATCTGTTTGCCCGACTGGTTAAATGCTGTTAATGAAAATAGTAATTTATTATTTTTGACAATAGATCCTAGAGGTCACAACTCATGTATTCATTGCAAATTATTAGATTAATTGGCAGTCATTAATTTTTTGATCACAACTTAATCAATTGTGAGTCACTATCACAATTTTTAAGTCACATGTTACAAATTAACCAATTTCTCAATCACAAATTATCCTTTTTATTGGTCACATATTACTTCTTGGTCATAAATTAACCAATTTAATGATCACAATCAATCAAATCATTTGTGACTATCACCTCACCATTGTTATCAACAGTAACGCCACCAAAGTTGCCGCTGCCAAAACTACCTCGCCATCGTCACCACCACATCTTGCTCACCCACCACCACCACATAACAGCGCACAACGCCACACCACACACCTAATCACCATACCACCTCACAATTGTTTTCTAACTTTTGAAAATATGCTTCATTTTCCTTTTTTTAATAGGAGGAGCAGGTTTTTATTTTCCTCAAAATAAGAAAAATATTTTTTTTTTTTAGGTAATATTTTTTATGTCAACCTAATACACTCTTAGTTCGTGTAATTTCCACTTAACGGTATCTTGGGCATGGCCCATTAGGAGATCCCAACCTAGCTTGAACTTTTGGGCTGGATAAGTATTTTTTTTGGCCCATTGTTAAACGGCTCGAAACGGAAGAGCTTCCTCCGTTCCAGCATTTGCCCAGTGGAAAGTTTCGAACTTCTTGCAACTTCTGTCTCACACACTGTCAGTCAGTTCTATTCATTAGCTTGTGTGGTTTCAACAATGGATTCTCTGTCGGAAAACGAATCAGTACCGGCGAACAACCTCAAAACTCTAGTATCATTCTACTCTACCTACCTTTATAACCGTTTTCTCAATTTTTTCCCAACTTCAATGAATCCCAACAATTTCATATCAAAAATCTCGAGCATGTACAGCTCCACAAAACGACGTCGCAGGAAGACTGGTCTCCCCCTTCCCTTGCCCGCCGCCACCACTACTGTTTCCCCTGATCAACCTTCTGTGTAAGATACTAAGATCTATAATCACACTTGTTAACATTTATCGTTGATCCATTTTGCACCTTTCATTTATTAAGAGAAATACAATTAAATGGGGCTTTATTATGAATAACTTTAGATGGTGCAAATTTTTTGGTGACCAATTGAAAAAACATGCACTGATTAAAAAATGGAAATGATAAATGGGCTCACTGTTTTATGATACTGAATGTCGTAGAG